GATTGCATGGAGTTCCTGAAGACATTGTGTCAGACCGGGGAGTCCAATTTACCTCAAAATTCTGGAAGGCGTTATGTGAAGCATTTGGAATCAGATTGTCCCTCTCTTCCGCTTACCACCCACAGGCAAATGGGCAGACGGAGAGCGACGAATCAAACGTTGGAACAATATTTGAGATGCTACACATCCTTCCTGCAGGACGATTGGCTGACACATTTGCCACTGGCAGAATTTGCCTATAACAACACGAATCATTCAGCTACGGGGCAATCTCCATTTCTTGCAAATTATGGGTTCCATCCTACGTTTCTGCCGGATTTGATGGCCGAAAGCTCAGTTCCTGCCACTCAAAGGACGTTGAGTTTTTTCGCTGCCAACAACAAGGAGGCTATTGTAAAAGCGCAAGAGGATAACAAAAGAGCCTTCAACAGGAAGAGAAGGGAGAACTAGTATTGCAACCTGGGGATCAGGTTTGGCTGGCAACGATGAACTTGAAGATGTCTTGCCCATCGAAAAAACTGGGGCTGAAGTTTGTATGAACTCAATCTTCCGGAAACCTTTACGATCCACACAGTCTTCCATGTGTCGCTACTGAAGCCAGCTACGCCAGACCCATTTCCGGATTGGGAGTCCAGACCTCCAGAAGCAATAACCATAGATGAAGAAGAAGAATTTGAGGTGGAAGCAATCCTGAACTGTCAAAAAAGGGGGGGCCAGACACAGTTCCTGATCAAATGGAAGGGTTGTGGCCCTGAGGAGAACTTATGGGAACCCGCCAAAATGTTCATGCCCCTAGGCTTATCCGGGAATTTTATCAAAGCCACCCACGGTGGGAGAGGTCAGTTGGGCACCCGGAGGTTGCCTGTAAGGGGGGGCAATGTCAGGGTCCGCTGCAGCATTCGGTCCGACGCATGCGCAGTTTGCCAGCTCGCGCTGGGCTGCGGACGCTAGGTCCTGGCCGACCACGGCAGAGATGAACTCGCGCGTGCGCACTGGGGGCCGTGGGTGCACGCCTGGCACCAATGACAGGGTGGGAATGCGGTAATTAAATCCGCCCTGCGCTGACACTGGTTGCTGTTTGGTCTATCCTGTGTTCCCTGCTTCTGTATTTGTTGATATTTGATCGTTGCTGACCCGGATTGCCCCTGACTGTGCTGTATTCTGCTCTGACCCCTGGCTTGCCTGACCTCTCCCTTGGATGCCCCCTATTGGATCTGATCTTCTGGTACTGACCCTGCGTGTAACCTGACTATCCTCTGCCTGCAGCCTTGTACCGCGCTGCTCCCACTGTAACCAACCAGGCCTGTCTGACTACGAATCCATCCATCCATCCTGCTTGGGCCCTTCTGCCTCTTCACATCAGGCTCTCATCTTGTAGATATCTCCGGCAGATCCCTCTACCACAGGTGGGTGTACTCAGAGGCCGCAACCTGGTCCTGGTCTGCTCCAAGTCCATCCCCACCATCAGGGGCCCTGGTGAACAAGTAGACCGGGACTTAGACTCCGAGCTCTGGGGAATCCTGTCCGGTGTATTGCCAGAGGTACTGCCAGGTGGATCATTACAATAGTCTTGTACCATGTGACCTTTATAATCATTCACAGATTTCACAAGTAGTAAGCAATGATGTCAGCAAGTGACATCTTGTTTACTACTGTTCATGTGATCACTGATTGGCTGATCAGGGATCACATGAATTGGGATCTCACACAGAGGTCCCGTACAGCGACCGGTGTGCGATCCGGACACAGCGGGTACCGGATCGCAGTGCCGTGCGCTCCCTGGGAGCGCGCACAGGCAGTGACTGTGGGCGCCGTTTATAAACAGCAATCCGCTTCGGCACTGCTCCCGTCTGGCCATTTATGTAAGTGGGCTGGACGGGAAGTGGTTAAAGTATATGTAAACCCTTACCTTGTAAAATAACCCATTCAGGTAAAATAGAAATGAAAGCCAAAATGTTTGCTTGTGTATATATAAACAAAAAATATCAATCCTTTTTTTCCATTTTCTTTATAAGTGATCTGCTCTCAGCTGCATAAGGATCTTGATAAAGAATGAAAGTGCAGCGCTAACCCAAATAGTGACTAAACATATGATAGACCACATGTGATTGTGGATCAGTAAAATGTCAGCGTAAGTTCATCAAATGTGCTGAGTATGCATACAGTCTCCAGTATGTAAGGAACCAAAAGTAGTAACTTTCAGAAATGATAAGAGATAGTCAAATAATGCACTAACCAGATAGCCATATTAAAGCGCATGGGGCATTTAAGACCTGCCCCTGGTGCTCAGCCACTGTATCACTGGAACAAGGAGGTGTCATCTGTAGGGTGACCACTAGATGTCATCCATCCGGATGGAAGCTGGGTCCAGCCACTGTATTAATGGATCAGGTGGGTGTCATCTATAGGGCGACCACTAGATGTCATCTGTTCAAGGAGGAGCTGTATCATGGATCCAGGGATGTCACTTGCAGATGTGTTCTTGCTAGGCTCAGCCCCAGGACCTTCAGGATTACAGGCTCCCCAGAAATAAAGAGCCCATGGAAAAAGGCCTCAAATAGTGTGATAACGTTTATTAAAGTTTATAGGTAATCAGAAAAGAACTTACTAACAAAGGTTCAGCTGCTCATAAACGGCCAGACCAGAAGTACACGTACAAAGGATAAACATAGCTTGGCACTTCCCTAACGCGTATCGTGTGAGTACACATCATCAGAGGGGCATAAGGATCTTGGAGAGTTCACTGATCTTCCCAGTGAATGGCTGTGCGCGGGGGGGCGGTTTTGGTTGGGGCATGTCAGCACAAGTCTAATCATTGGAGGACAGGCAGGCTCTGTTCTCCCAGTAAAGCCAGAAAACCTACCACTCTTGTATGGAGGTGCTCTCATGCCTAACACGGTCAGTTTAAAATGGGGGGGACGGGACTAGCAGGAACACCAGGTATTTCAATACAAAGGAAGAAATACAAGAAGAACAGGATATTTTTTTAACACAAGTACATGGTACAACGGGCACATACCAGGGATTAAGATGTGCAAATCAAAGTACCTGGCACACAAAACCAGAAGAGCACCTGTGCAGATTCTTGTACCCTCTTCTCTGTAGCTCAAGGGTGTTCACAGTAGAATGGTAGGCACTTTACTTTTAATGGTGAGTAAGTGTGTGTGTGTGGGGGGGGCTGAGGGATTGTAGTCTCCTGGCTGACCAGATTCTAATGAAGTGGATGATGGTCTTGTTAACAGGTGTTCTATCTTTTTTCTTCTGGGTCATATATAGTACATTTTTGGAAATATTCTGTAGTAGAATGTAGAGCATATTTTTTCCAGTGGAGTGGGATAAGCGATTTAGTAGCATTGAATAGGTTCTCAGAGACTTTTTATATTTGGAGATCAGGCTGGGGGTGTGCTAAAGCAGCAGTTTCTTAAGATTGTATTGCAATGGGGAGCCAGTGAATTGATTTCCAGTGCATAAGAGTACACAGTTTCCCAAAAGGGTTGAATCAAGATGCAATCCCACCACCATAATCTGGCAGAGTTTGTGGAGTTTTTGCGGTGTTCTATAGCAGATAACAATTTACACATTAACATATTTAACACAATTAACACATTTAACCAGCATTTTATTTTACAACAACTACTAAATAGATCTTTTAGTAACACACATTAATATTTTATAGTTTTTGTTTTTTTTTATACCAGACATGTGCCCAACAGAAAGGCAAAAAGAATTTTTGTAATCTAATGCTAGCCATACAAATGGTACTTGCAATCACTTTCAACCAGCTTTTGAATACAAAAGTGACCGAGTTTATCAACTACTATAGCTTCTTTCAAAACCTTCAATGCTAGTTAGTATTGATCTGTTTTTAAGATAGAAAAAAATTCTAAAGGGGGCAAAATGCATTCAGCAAATGTAGCCTTGTATATACCATACCTAATTGATGCCCCAGGAGCTAATTACTGAAGTAGACACCTTTACTTCAGTGTTCTCCAATTGCTCGCAGGTCCCACACTGAGCTGCTGCTCTCCTGCATTGTGAACAGAGGAGGTTGGCAACTCAACATTGATGCCATTCACAGAATGCTTTTAATATTAAAAATAATTCTAAAAATAAATTAAATAAAATAACAAAACTAAAACTACTGGCACCATCCACTGCTCCACTGATGCCATCCTCTGCCCTACTGACAAAGTCCACTGACCTAGTGACATCATCCGGTGTTCTACTGACTGACACCATCCACTGCTCTACTGACTGATACCGTCCACTGCCCTACTTACACCAACCTTCTTACACGTCCACTGCTCTACTGACACCGTCCACTGCCCTACTGATAAAGTCCACTGTCCTACTGAGCCCATCCATGGCCCTATCCACTGCCTTACTGACACTGTCCACTGGTCTACTGCCTGACACTGTCCACTTTTTTTTTCTATAACTTCTCTTTATTAAGGTACACTATATTACCAAAAGTATTGGGATGCCTGCTTTTACAAGCACATGAACTTTAATGCCATCCCAGTCTTAGTCCGTAGGGTTTAATATTTGAGCTGGCCCACCCTTTGCAGCTATAACTCTTCTGGGAAGGCTGTCCAACAAGGTTTAGGAGTGTGTCTGTGGGAATGTTTGACCATTCTTCCAGAACTGCATTTTTTAAGTCAGGCACTGATGTCAGAAAAGAAGGCCTGGCTTGCAATCTCGCTCTAATTCATCCCAAAGGTGTTCTATCAGGTTGAGATCAGGACTCCGTGCAGGCCAGTCAAGTTTCTCCACCCCAAACTCTCTCATCCATGTCTTTATGGACCTTGCTTTGTGCACTGGCACGCAATCATGTTGGAACAGGAAGGGGACATCCCCAAGCTATTCCCACAAAGTTGGGAGCATGAAATTGTCCAAAATATATTGGTATGCTGACACCTTAAGGGGTTCCCTTCACTGGAACTAAGGGGCCAAGCCCAACCCCTGAAAAACAACCTCATATCATAATTCCCCCCTCCACCAAGCTTTATACTTGGCACAATGCAGTCAGGCAAGTACTGTTCTCCTGGCAACCAGCAAACCCAGACAGAGAAGTGGGATTCATCACTCAAGAGAACACGTCTCCAATGCTCTAGAGACCAGTGGTGGTGTGCTTTACACCACTGCATCTGAGGCTTTGCATTGCATTTGGTGATGTAAGGCTTGGATACAGCTGCTCAGCCATGGAAACCCATTCCATGAAGCTCTCTACGCACTGCTATTGTGCTATTGTGCTAATCTGAAGGCCACACAAAGTTTGGAGGTCTTTAGCTATGGACTCTGCAGACAGTTGGTGACTTCTGCGCACTGTGCACTTCAGCATGCTCTGACACTGCTCTGTTATTTTACATGGCCTACCACTTGGTGGCTGAGTTGCTGTTGTTCCCAGTTGCTTCCACTTTATTATAATACCACTAACAGTTGACTGTGAAATGTTTAGTAGCAAGGAAATTTCATGGATAGACTTATTGCACAGGTGGCAACCTATCATGGTATCACACTTAAATTCAGTGAACTCCTGAGAGCAACCCATTCTTTCACAAATGTTTGTAGAAGCAGTCTGCATGCCTAGCTGCTTGATTTTATACACCTGTGGCCATGGAGGTGATTGGAATACCTGAATCCAATGATTTGGAGGGATGTCCCAATATCTTTGTGAAGAAGTGAGTAGTTACAAAACATCCTATTGGGCATTCCCAGGTCAGAAGAGTACATAGTAACAGAGATGGCAAAAGCTAAAAAAACAGCAACAACTTCTCATTTTTGCTAGCTTGACAAGGAGATGTACATCAGGGGGCCACAAAAGGAAGAAAGCCCTGCAGGGCAAGTAATCTGTAAAGATGGAGAAAAAAACCTAACCAGAACAATGGACACAGCAGAATATAATGAGGAAAATTCAGACACTGTCCACTTTTAACCACTTGCCCTCCTGAGGATTTATCCCCCTTCCTGACCAGGCCTCTTTTTGCTACTCGGCACTGCACTAATTCAACTGATCATTGTGCGGTCATGCAATGCTGCTCCCAAACAAAGTTTACGTCCTTTTTCACACAAATAGAGCTTTCTTTTGGTGGTATTTGATCACCTGTGCGCTTTGTATTTTTCATGCTATAAACCAAAAAAGACCGAAAATTTTGAAGAAAAACTAATTTATACTTTCAGCTATAAAAAATATACAGTAAACTCAAAGTTAGTTATACATTTAGGCCAAAATTCTACTACATGTTTTTGGTAAAAAATCCCAATAAGTGTATATTGATTGCTTTGTGTGAAAGTTATAGAGTCTACAAACTTTGGTTAGATACTGCAATTTACGCCATTTTTTTGCTATATAGCGCTGCGCTAGTTTAACAGACAATTGCGCGATCATGCAATACGGTACATAAATGAAATTTATGTCCTTTTTTCACACAAATAGAGCTTTCTTTTGGTGGTATTTGATCACCTGTGCATTTTTTATTTTTGGCACTATAAACAGAAATAGTTTTGAAGAAATACATTTTTTTGAAAAAAACAATATTTTCTCATTTCGGTCATAAAAAACTAAAATTTCGTCATAAATTTAGGCCAAAATGTATTCTGCTACATGTTTTTGAATAAAAAAAATCCTAGTAAGTGTATATTTATTGCTTTGTGTGAAAATTATAGCATCTACAAACTATGGTATAGATAATGGAATTTACACAGCTTTTACTTTCTGACTGCCCATCACATTTCTTGAGGTGCTAAAATATCAGGATAGTACAAACACCCTCAAATGACCCCTTTTTCGGAAAGTAGACGCCCTAAGCTTTCTGCTGAGAAGCATATTGAGTCCATGGAAGATTTATTTTTTTTCCACAAGTTTCTGGAAAATGACAAAAACATTTTTTTTTTTTTTACACAAAGTTGTCATTTAAATGATTTATTTCTCGCACAAGCCATGGGTATATGTGGAATTACACCGCAAAATACATTCTGCTACTTCTACCAAGTATGTGGATACCACATGTGTGAGACTTTTTGGGAGCCCAGCCACATACAGGAGCCTGAAATCCAATGCCCACTTTGAAAGCCTGAAGGTGCATAAATCCTCATTACACTTCCTCACTACCTATCACAGTTTTGAAGGCCCTGACATGCCAGGATAGCACCAAACCCCCCAAACCCCCCAAATGACACCCCAAGGAATTTAAAAAGGGGAATGGTGAGTATTTTGCAGATCTAATTTTTTCTCACAAGTTTTTGAAATATAAAAAAAGAATAGAAAAAATATGTTTTTATTACTTTTTTTAATATTTTTAAATTATTTTGATTTTTTTTTTTATTATTTTTACACTGTACCTTTTAATTTTTATCACTTTTAATGCTATCACAGGGAATGCAAATATCCCCTATAACTTCAATGGGCATTGTTATATATTCTTTTTTGAGAAATCTGGGGTCTATCAGACTCTGGATATCTCCTCTGCCCTTACATTATCTAATCAAACCAAAATCGGTGTGATCAGATGCTTTCCCAATTTACAAATGGCGCTGTTTATATCCTGTGAAACTGAAGTGATGAAATGTTTGTAGCTTCTGAATTCTTAGACTATAGAGATGATTGGCACCACTCTGGTCTCCGATCAGCTCTATGGTCAGCTGGCAGAAACACTGGCTGCATTCTCAGATTCCCCCAATGGCATGGGACTGCCCGAGAAGGCCGTGGAAGGCAGCGGGGGAGGGGGGCATCATCTCCCGATTCTTGTAAAAGCAATCCTGCAGCTAATTAGCCACTAGGATTGCTTTTACATGAAAGACAATTGCTGAAAAAAATGATGCCTGCAGCTGTAGGCATTATACTGGTATAACCATTCAAAGTCCAATGATGTACCAGTACATCGCTGATCCTTGTTGGTTATATATGCTATGTTTTTTTTTTTTTGTATGCAGCCTGTGGGCTGAATAAAAAAAGAGAAGAAATCTGCCAAAAAAAGTGTGTGGTATTAGAATATACCGCCCTGCATCCACCCACTTCTAATGGTGGGCACACATTTAACTCATGGATGGCATTGTGTCTCAGGGCTCTTTTGATCACTGAAAACAATCTCGAACACCTGTGATAATTAGATTGGCAGGTGAGCCCAATTTAAGGAAAAACTACTAAAGGAGGGTGTTCCACATTATTAAGCAGAGCACCATTTTCAAGCAATATGAGGAAGAAAAAGGATCTCTCTGCTCCCGAAAAGAGTGAAATAGTTCAATGCCTTGGACGAGGTATGAAAACATTCGATATTTCACGTAAACTCAATCGTGATCATCGCACTATTAAGAGATTTGTGGCTGATTCAGAGCACAGACAGGTTCGTGCAGATAAAGGCACATTGAGGAAGATTGCTGCCAGATCTATGCATCGGATCAAGAGAGCAGCTGCTAAAATACCATTACATAGCCGCAAACAGATATTTGAAATTGCTGGTGCCTCTGGAGTCCCACGGATATCAAGGTGTAGAGTCCTCCAGAGTCTTGCAACTGTGCATAAACCTTCTATTCAGCCACCACTAACCAATGCTCACAAGCAGGAATGGCTGCATTGGGCAGAAAAATACATGAAGACTAATTTTCAAACAGTTCTGTTCACTGATGAGTGCCATGCAACCCTGGATGGTCCAGATGGATGGAGAAGTGGATGGTTGGTGGATGGCCACCTTGCTCCAACAAGGCTGCGACGTCAGCAAGGCTGTGGTGGAGTCATGTTTTGGGCCGGAATCATGGGAACAGAGCTGGTCAGCCCCTTTAGGGTGTAAAGATGACCTCTGCAAAGTATGTGGAGTTTATGACTGACCACTTTCTTCCCTGATACAGAAGGAAGAACTATGCTTTACGTAATAAAATCATCTTCATGCATGACAAAGACATGGTATAGAATACCTCTGCATCAATGGCTGCTATGGGGATAACAGGAGAGAAAGTCATGGTGTGGCCTCCATCCTCCCCTGACATCAATCCTATTGAGAACCTTTGGAGCATCCTCAAGCAAAAGATCTATGAGGGTGGGAGGCATCCAAACAGCAGCTCTGGGAGGCTATTCTGACATCTTGCAAACAAATTCAAGCAGAAACTGTCCAAAAACTCACAAGTTCAATGGATGCAAGACTTTGTGAAGCTGCTATCAAATAAGGGGTCCTATGTTAAAATGAAACGTGACCTGTTAAAACGTTTAAAAAGTTAAAATGTTGTTAAAAGTTTGATTGAAATAGCTTTTGATTTCAGTAAATATGCTGTAAACACAACAAATGACAATTTTCAGTTCTTTACAACCTATAAAGTGTTTTGAAACTTACTGTGCGTAATAATTTGGAACAGTGCATTGTAAGTTTTTTATGTTTAAAAAAAATACTGTTATCATTAGGAGGTTTGTTCAATAAAATTTGAATTGTACTCTTAATAGTTGATAACATGAGAATTATGCTGACTGTTGTTTACATCAATTACACAGGTCTGCAAAAAAATTTTTCTCAAGAGCTGTTTTGGTTATTCCATGTAATCTTTATGTTTTTTGGTGCGCTGAATCCGAAAATGACCTCCATTTTGTCATAGGACATCACGTTTCCTGACAATTTCGGTAACTATGTTAAATAAGGCAATACCTCAAAATAAATGGAAATAGACTTAAAAAGACTTAAAAATTAAAGTTTTATTACAATTTTTTCATGAAAATCCTTTTTTGAACTGAAATGAGCTCACCTACACACACTAAACTCGATTCTTCTTCCCTGTGAGGCTCCTCTTGGTGCATTTACGCTTGTGAGTAGCATCTGGAATGTCTCTCTGAAGCATCCAACAGTAGTCTGCCATTATTGTAATGCTCCATTTTCCCTGGTATCTCCTTTCCATCTCTTTATGTCTTGGTGGAATCATTCACCTTGTTCCTCACTCACAGCTCCCAAATGTTCAGGAAAGTAGTCAAGGTGGGACTGGAGGAAATGCACTTTCAAACTCATCAGGCAACCTAAAGCTTGAAATGCTTTCAGCATTGGTCCGACGATCTTTTTGTAGTGAGGATCTTTGTTATTGCCTAAAAATTTCTGTACGACTTCCTTAACCACTTCCCCACCGGCCGTTGCATATAAACAGCCGGACAGTGGCACTGCAGGGTCGGGTGGCCGTTTATACACGGCCTCCCCACACTCTGCTTGTGCGCGCTCCCTGGGAGCGCGCAGCACCGCGATCCGGTGCCTGCTGTGTCCTCTGGACACAGTGAAACACTGATCTTCGGACGGGACCTCTGTACAAGGTCCCGATCATGTGATCACTGATTGGCCAATCAGTGATAACATGCAAAGTAGTAAGCAAGATGTCACTTGTGACATCATTGCTTACTACGTGTGAAATCTGTGAATGATCACAGAGATCACATGGTACAAGGCTATTCACAACAGCCTTGTACCATGTGACAAGCTGTGACCAATCACAGCTCACTCAGTACTTCGCAATGAGTGCAAGAATGCAGACAGAGAGAAAGAGAGATGATTGCTTTTACATCCTATATGGGTGTAAAAGCAATCAGCGTAAAAAAAAAAAAAAAATCTTCACCACCCCACAAGTAGTACAGTTTCA